GGATATGCAGGAGGATTTCCCGAAGACCTCGAGCCAGCGGCATGTCATTTTGCCCGAAGATGTCGGGCCAGCGGCATGCGGCCGCTGCTGCCCCAGCACAGAGATTTCACCACTGTAGCTGGTGCCTGTCGAGGCGGCTGGCCTGCTGTTATTCTGCCGGCATTAGTGGGGTGTGTCGGGCTGGTTACACAGGGCCCCAGCACTGCCTCCGGTCACATTGATGCGTGCTCACCGTCATTTCGTCGGCCTCAGTGGGACGTGTCGGGCTGGTTACACAGGCCCCCAGCACCATTGTCCGGCCACATTGGTGCGTGCTCACCATTATTTTGTCGGCCTCAGTGGGATGTGTCGGGCTAATTACACAGGCCTCCAGCACCATTTTCCGGCCACATTGGTGCATGCTCACCGTCAATTCGTCGGCCTCAGTGCAACGTGTCGGGCTAATTACACAGGCCTCCAGCACCATTGTCCGGCCACATTAGTGCATGCTCACCATCATTTTGTCGGCATTAGTGGGGTGTGTCGGGCTGGTTACACAGGCCTCCAGCACCATTTTCCGGCCACATTGGTGCATGCTCACTGTCAATTCGTCGGCCTCAGTGGGACGTGTCGGGCTAATTACACAGGCCCCCAGCACCATTGTCCGGCCACATTGGTGCATGCTCACCGTCATTTCGTCGGCCTCAGTGGGATGTGTCGGGCTGTTTACACAGGGCCCCAGCACCATTTTCCGGCCACATTGGTGTGTTCAGGTGGTGAGCACACTGTTATTTTGTCGGCCTCAGTGAGGTGCAGTAGGCTGGTCACAGGGTACCAGCACTATTTTCCGGCCACATTGGCACAATGAGGTGGTGAGCATGCTGTAACTCCGTCGGCATCAGCAGTACCACCACTATCCCATTGCATGGTTAGTGGCAGTAGCATGCAGATGGGTGTCAATTATGTCGGCTTGCCTTGAGTATGCCCTATCACTGCAAAATAGGTTGGTTATCTTAAACCATGCGCACACTGCTGGTCAAAGAGGCTAGTGATTCTGTTCCGGCCACCTCAGTGATACTTATCCAGCCACTTCTGTATATTAGTCTGGATGCTGTAGCCACAACAAACCAGTTATTCTAACCATAATAAGCCGGTTATTTGAGCCTCAAAATGTCGGCCTACATTTGACATCATTAATTTCAATCCACCTGATGCTGATATGATATTGCACTTCAAAGTCTCGGCCTATAAACTTCATTAAGCTGATGCACCCTGGTACTCATGTTGTACCTCAAAGTGTTGGCATGCATTACACATTATTGTTCTCACTCAACTTAATACTAATATGTTATTGTGCCTCAAAATGTCGGCCTATATTCACCATCACTAATCTAACTCAACCTAATGCTAGTGTGCTATTGTCCCTCAAAATGTCGGCCTACATATAATATTACAGATGTCACTCACTATGGTATTG